CATTGAGCTACTTTCTGCATCATTTCGTTGTCCAAATCCAGGAATTTTTTTTTAACACTTAAAGATTTTGTTGTTGTTGTTAATCTTCACCCGAGAATATTTTTCATTGATTTTTAGAGAGAGTGGAAGGAAGGGGGAGAGACAGAGAGAGAGAAACATTGATGTGAGAGAGAAACATCGATTGGTTGCCTCCCCCACAGGCCAACCGAGGCTGGGGATTAAGCCTACGACTAAGGTACGTGCCCTTGACCAGAATCCACCCTTCAGTCTGCAGGCCAACGCTCTATCCATTGAGCCAAACTGGCTAGGGCTGACATCACTTTAGATGGGAGGACTTGGCTCCTGGGTTACCCTGTATTTGGGGATAACCTGTGGTACCTGATATTTACCACATCAAGTGTGTGAATAAGTAGACTCCTGACTTTACATTTTTAGGGCTTTTAAAAAGTAATCTGGGACAAGAGGAAAGAGTCATGGAGAAAAGCTGCATTATTGGGATGTATACTTATGTTTTTATTAGAGAAATTATATGTGAAAGGATTTCATTATGTAGTTATATATTGTTGTTTGGCCTCCTTCCTTCTGTCTTCCAGGGTTATGTGCTGCTTGTAACTGAAAAATCATTGATCTAAAGAGTAAAACATCCAGGTTTAGTTGTAGAATTCCTAGGATTTTCAGTTTCAATATTCACAGTGGGTATGTGATTTTTATTACTTGTTGGATCAATCAGATTTGCTGCATAGTTGAATTGTCCATGATTGAAAAATGCCTGCAGTTGGAAATAGGATTTTCCCCCCCTTCATGGAGTAACCTTGAAATTTTAATTAATTCTATCATGATAGAAATCTGTTTCATCAGAGGTTTGACTGAATTGAATTTCAAGGGGGAGAAGAGTGCTGAGGATTATTCTCACATTATACAAAGCCTTTGGTGGTAGGGAGGGTAGTAAACTTTGTATAACGTGGAAGTTATTCTAGCCCAGGGGTGGGCAAACTTTTTGACTCGAGACTGGACCGGAGGGCCGAAACAAAAGCATGGATGGAGTGTTTGTGTGAACTAATATAAATTCAAAGTAAACATCATTACATAAAAGGGTACGGTCTTTTTTTTTTTTTTTAGTTTTATTCATTTCAAACGGCCGGATCCGGCCCGCGGGCCGTAGTTTGCCCACGGCTGTTCTAGTCTGTTTCCTTGTATTTTAAAACAAAAATGCTTTAGTGGAGACCCTCTACTGCATAATGCCCTAGAACACATGGAGGTGTGTTCATAATTCTGTGTTGACATCATTCCCATGTAATTATAGGGACCTGTTTGGCTCCTGCTGTTCGTTAGTCTCCGGGAGAGGCATGTGAATACTCTCAGGTAGCTCTGGCTCTTCTCCCATGTTGGGGTTCTTTAGCTTAGGAGCTGGAGGCCATTATGCCACTATGGTAATGAGCTCCGCCTCCCATGCTATACTGCTTCTCAGGAGCAAAGTTGAAGGGCAGGTCTACAGGAAGGCAGATTATCATCAGGTAACTTTTAACCCTGGAAAGCTTCCAGATGGTACATAGGTCCCTAGTTGTGCTTAAACCAAGAGATCAAGAGCAGTCTGGGATTAATGAAATAACTGATTGAATTTATGGTTTCCTGTAGGTGTGAAGCTGTTGGTTCGTTTAGACTTTGGGGTATTATAGGCATATTAAATGGAGAAGGGTACTACTTTTTGATTTGGAGGATGACCTATAAGGCCTCAGATTTCATTTCCTGCCACTCTTATCACTGTATTCTAGCTACCCTGGTCTTCTTACCAGTTGTCTAACACATTAAGCTCATCCCCATCTCAGTGGCTTTTCACTTGCTGTTAATTCTTTTTGGAATGCTCTTCTCTGAAATGGTCATAGGGCTTGCTCTGCTCATGGAGACACTTCTTTGATGAGCCAGCCACTCATCTCTGGCCTCCTCTCCCTGCAATTCTTTCTAAAAGAACGCTATACTTCACCCTATCCCTACAATTCTCCCTTTGTGATTTCCTGGTGTGTGTGTTTTACTTATCAGTAACTGAGATAATGAGTAATTAAAGCATAGTGATTAATCACAAAAACAATATGTAATTATATATGTGTTTTCCGATGGTCTTAGGCGACCCCTGTGAAAGGGTTGTTCAACCCCCAAAGGGGTCGCAACCCACAGGTTGAGAACCGCTGCACTAGAATGTAAGCCCCAAGATTGTAGAAAATTGTTTAGCTTCTAGAACAGGGTTTATGACCCTCAGCATTATTACTAGTATTATTTTTTTTAAATATATTTTATTGAATTTTTACAGAGGAAGGGAGAGGGATAGAGAGTTAGAAACATCGATCAGCTGCCTCCTGCACACTCCCTACTGGGTATGTGCCCGCAACCAAGGTACATGCCCTTGACCGGAATCGAACCTGGGACCCTTGAGTCCACAGGCTGACGCTCTATCCATTGAGCCAAACCGGTTAGGGCTACTAGTATTATTTTTTAAAAATATTTTTATTGATTTCAGAGAGGAAGGGAAAGGGAGAGATAGAAACATCAATGATGAGAGCACAACCTCTTTTTATATATATATACCTACTGATTTCTAATCTGATATTACTAATACATTGTGAATGGCTTGTCATTTTATTAAATGTTAGTGATATATCATTAAAATATTTTTACTGTACTAAAACTATGGGAAAAATTAGAGAATACCAATAAACATAGAAAATGTTACAAGTATCTATAACTTTTGTTAACATAGATTGGCTGCCTCCTGCACATCCCACACTGGGGATCAAGCCCACAACCCAGGCATGTGCCCTGACTGGGAATTGAACCGTGACCTGCTGGTTCATAGGTTGACACTCATCCACTGAGCCACACCAGCTGGGCAACCTCAGCATTATTGACATTTTCGCCTGGATAATTCTTTGTTGGGGGGAGGGGGCTATCCTATGTGTTATAGAATGTTTAGCAGCATCCTTGTTTTCTGTCCACTAGATGCCAGTAGCATCCCTCATTGGTGTCAATCAAAACTGTCTGTAGACATTGCTAAATGGCTCCTGGGGGACAAAATCACCCAGCTGAGAACCACTGTAATAGAACAACTGGAGGCCTGGTGCATGAAATTCGTGCACTGCAGGGGGGGGGGGTGCGGATTGTCCCTCAGCCCGGCCTGCGCCGTCTTGCAGTCTGGGACCCATTGTTCCTTACTGCTTGCTGCTCCTTACTGCTCGGCTTGCTGCTCCTTAGTGCTGCCGCGGAGGCAGGAGATGCTCCCACCACCGCCGCTGCACTCGCCAGCCGTGAACCTGGCTTCTGGCTGAGCAGCACTCTCCCTGTGGGAGCACACTGTCCACCAGGGGGCAGCTTCTGCATTGAGCGTCTGCCCCCTGGTGGCCAGTGCGCATCATAGCGACCGGTCATTCTGGTCGTTACGCCATAAAGGTCACTTAGGCTTTTATTATATAGATAGATGCTTTGGCACCTGGTGGGTGCTCAATAAATATTTATTGGATGGTAGGTGAATTCATGAATGAATGAATTTAGCAAGTTAACAAATTTTAGAACATTGAACTATGTGCATAGCCTCATGTTTCTCTAGATACCTATTCTTCTGTCTTTTCTGTTTCTGGCACATTGATCCAATAAACACCTATTAGAATGGCCAAAATCTAAAACACTGACAACACCAAATACTGACAAGAATGTGGAGCAGCAGGAACTCTCTTCATTGCTCTTGGGAATGCAGAATGTTACAGCCACTTTGGAAGGCAGTTTGGCAGTTTATTACCCTGTGATCCAGCAATCATGCTCCTAGGTACAGGCAGTCCTCGGGTTACGTCAGACTCGACGTACGTCTTTTCGTGGTTATGTCGCCATCTCCCATTTATTTATAAAAAAAAAGTTCCATCATTTCGACGTATGTACATATGTGCTTTATGTTTTTTATTATTTATTTACCACAAGTAAAGGAAAGGAATTGTTATCTTTTAAATTTTTTTTACTGTTTCACTTCATTACTGCTGTGTATGTGCTTCATGTGAGTGACATAGGTGCTTATTTAAGTGGGTTCTGACTTACGGCGAAAATTGTGTTACGGCCGTAGGAATAGATCTCTGACGTAACCCGAGGACCTACTGTATTTATTCAAATGAGCTGAAAACTTATGTCCACGCAAGGATATTCATAGTCGCTTTATTCATAATTGCTAAAGTTGGAAGCAACCAAAATATCCTTCAGTAGGTGAATGGATAAATAAATTGTGGTACGTACAGACAATGGAATATTATTCAGCACTAAAAATGAATCAGCTATCCAGCCCTGAAAATACACGGGAGAAACTTAAATGCCTAAGTAAAGGAATTATGATTCCAACTATATGACATTTTGAGAAAGGCAATTCTATAAAGACAATAGATAAGTGGTTGCCAGAGATTGGGGGGAAGGATAGTTGAATAGATAGATCATAAATTATTTTAGGGCAGTGAAACTCTTCTGTATGATAATACAGTGGTGGGTAATTGTCATTGTACATTTTTCACAACCCATAGAATGTACACCAGGAGTGAACTCCAATGTAAACTGCACTTTGGGTGATAATGAGGTGTCAATATAGATTCCATTGTCACAAAGGGACCACTGCAAGGTGTAGATAATTGGGGAGGCTTGTGTGTGTGTTGGGGTAGGGGGGAGGATGCAGGGGTATATGAGTGCTGTTTGTACTTTCTATTCAGTTTTGCTTTGAATCTAAAAAAATAAAATTTATTAATTAAAAAATATTAAAACAAAAAGAATAATAGGTATCAGAGACTATAGGTGCCTTACGAAGCCTAAAATATTTATTATCTGGCCTTTTATAGAAAAATTTACCAAACTCTGGACTATATCACAGTGGAACTAGTAAATGAGGTGCTTAGTTTCTCTGGTGTCATGCCCAGTCCCCTAGTTCTCCTGGTACTCGATGTCTCTAATGGCAAAGTTCTCATGAATTTTTATTTCATTTGCAGGTATATGAGTGACCTAAAGCTGCAAATTAAAACGGAGAGAGAGCAGTGCCAACTGCGAGCTGGGCAAGAATGCCAATTCCTCCTCCCCCTCCACCCCCTCCTGGTCCTCCTCCACCTCCCACTTTTAATCAGGTGGGTAATCCTGCCACTCGGCTATCTCAAAACCTTAGTGGATATTTAAGCCATCTGGTATAAGCCATACCGTACTCAAAGACTTGTGGTGCAGGAAGATGGAGAATAAACAAGTCAAGTCTTATCAATTAGTTTTGATATTTGAGAGGTCTTCTGAGACCATAATAGCTTCTTGTTTTCTTGTCCTGGGTCAGTCTAAATCAGCGGTTCTCAACCTGTGGGTCGCGACCCCTTTGGCGGTCGAACGACCCTTTCCCAGGGGTCGCCTAAGACCATCCTGCATATCAGATATTTACATTATGATTCATAACAGTAGCAACATCACAGTGATGAAGTAGCAACGAAAATAATTTTATGGTTGGGTCACAACATGAGGAACTGTATTTAAAGGGTCAGAAGGTTGAGAACCACTGGTCTAAATGGATATTTGGACAGGTGACATCAGAGTAGGAACTGATGTTTCCCTCCTAAAGCTTTGTTCTTAAAGGTCAGTACATCATTTCTTTGGCATCTTTGAGAAAAGGGGTAGCAATTTCTGGTCGTTGATTCTTTGCAACCATTTCATCTTCTCCAAATCAGTTAGTTTTCAAACCAAATCAATCAAGTCTAACACCCCATCAAGAAAGAAAGGAGTTTATGGAATGTATTAGTAAGAAGACTTAAAGTGTCAGTAATGGGATGTTTAAAACCAGTGGAGCAGGGAGAGGTGGAGAAGGCCTCAGGGGTGATCAGGGCCGGCAGCCAGGCACTGGCAGTGGGTGCGAGCGGCGGCTCCAGTGCCGGTTGCGGGTGTGAGTGGGGCTGGCACCGGCAGCAGGTGCGAGAGGTGGCTGCCAGCCCCGATCGCTCTTCAGGAGCAGGGGAAGGTGGAGAAGCCCTGAGGGGCGATCAGGGCAGGCAGCGGGTGTGAGCCGCAGCTCCGGCGCCAGCAGCAAGCACGAGCTCGGGGTGGGACTGCGGCGTGGGAGCAAAGAATTAATTTTCAGTAACCACCAGAGGCTCGCCCTGATGACAGCGACCCGCGCCCTGCCTCGGTCTGGCTCCCCCCACCCCGCCCCCATCTGCTCCACCATCCCACCGCAGGCAACGCCCGCCATGTTCTGCGCACGCCCCCTGGTGGTCAGCGCACGTCATAGTGACCAGTTGTTTGGTTGTTCTGCCGTTTGGTCTATTTGCATATTAGCCTTTTATTATATAGGAGATTATAAGAAAACTAGAAAATACAGATAAACATAAATAATTCTTACCAGAAGTTAACTTTTGCTAGTATCAGTGTGTATCCTTCCAGAAATTTGCTGTGTGTGGGTTTTTCTTCCAAATGAAATCTAGCTACTGTGCATTGAACTTTTTAATTTTGTTTTGTTAATCCTCTCCTGAGGATATTTTTCTATTGACTTTTAGAGTGGTAGGGAGGGGAGAGAGAGAGAGAGAAACATTGATGTGAGAGACACATCAATTAGTTGCCTCCCGTATGCTCCCTGACCAGGGCTAGGGATCTGAGAACAAGTCTACAACCAAGGTACGTGCCCTCAACCCTTTAGTCCAAGGGCCAGCGCTCTATCCACTGAGCAAATCCAGCTAAGGCCATTGAGCTTTTATTATGCACCAGACACTCCTAGGCTCTTGACAAGTATTGTCATTTCTAAAAACTACCTCGTGAGGTAAGTTCTTAGGTTACTGATAGAGAAAACTGGAATCATGCTATAAATATTGTTTTATAATGTTTTTTACTTGATTGTGGTAAACATTTACTATCATGAAAAGATATTTACTTATACTTCTTTAAGAGCTTATCTGGCATCCCATTGTTGGTTATCATTGTTCTTTTTGGTTTAACTTCTAGATTATTTTCAGTTTTGTGCTATTATAAACTGTGTTTTTGCTATAGTATTAACATGTTTGTGCACTTATTCAATTGTTTTCTTAAAGTCAGTTCCTAGAAGTAGAATTCCTGTGCTAGACTTTTAAAAGGTGTTTAACACATAAATCACTTTCTAGAAAGATCATACCAACTTATCTAACTGCAGGTAGTACAAAAGAGTGCCTATTTCCCTGAATCCTTATGACCACCATTGGGCAGTAGTTATTCTACACATTTTTTGAACATTTGCCAGGTGCCAGGCACTGTACATCACTGCTCACTGGTTCCTGCCTTCATAAAACTAGCATATTTTTGTTTGTTAATCCTCACCGAGGATATTTTTCCATTGATTTTTTTTAGAGAGTGGAAAGGAGAGGGAGAGACAGAGAGAAACATCAATGTGAGAGGGACACATTGATTGGTTGCCTCCTGCATGCACCTCGACCAAGGCCAGGGAACCTGCAACCGAGGTACGTGCCCTTGACTAGAATTGAACCCAGGACCCTTCAGTCCTCAGGCTGACGTTCTATCCACCAAGCCAAACCGGCTAAGGCAAAGCTAGCATCCTTTTTAGTTACAATTTTAACCTTCACTAATGTCATAGGTAGATAATGATAATGAGTTTTACCCTGTATTTCTTTTATTGTAGTTGATTTTTTTTCATATTTGCTGGCTTTTTTATTTTTATTTTTTAAATATATTTTTATTGATTTTAGAGAGGAAGGGAGAGGGAGAGAGACATAGAAACATCAGTGATGAGAGAGAATCATTGACCGGCTGCTTCTTGCCAGCCCCTCACTGGGGATTGAGCCAGCAACCCAGGCATGTGCCCTGACTTGGAATCGAGCTGTGATCTCCTGGTTCATAGGTTGACACTCAACCATGGAGCCACACCAGCTGGGTTCTTTGATTTCTTTTACAGAGTATTGTTCATATTCTTTGCTTATTATCCTGTTGATTCCTAAGTCATCTTTGTATTTTAATGCTCTATAGATTTAGGACACTATCTTTTGTGTCTATCGTATGTTACATTTGTCACAGATGATTTTTCCTCTCAGTATATCACCTGTTTATTTACTTATATTCCTAATAAATAATTGTACTAAGCAAATCTATTGATCTTTTCCTGTCTTTTATTTTTCTTTTCCTGTATTTTAGTTGTCATATTTAGAATGTTTTTCCCTTAGCAATTTTTTAAATATAGTATTTCTATAGTTTTTACACTTAAATATTATAATTCAGCTAGAATTGTTTGAGAATAAGCTGTGAGGTAGAAATGTATTTAACTTTATTATTTTTTTTTCAAAAATTACCAGTGTTATTAACATCTTGTATTTAATAATCTATTCTTTCTGATGAAATATACTTTTATTATTTCTTATATAGATCTGGGCCATTTATCTTGCTGTCTATCCCTGTGTTCCTGTTGTAGTTGGTCATAGCATGTTTCAACATTTAAATGAGATAATGAACCCCTAGCAGGGGTTCAGTAGATGTTTGCCTTGATGATGCTGATATATCTAAAGCATCTAACACACAACCCTAGTGCGTTAGGTATTCAATAAGTATTAGTGCAGGCCTCCAATCAGAGACATCTGAATAGGAGGTACAATAGGAGCAAAAGGACTAAGAAGAATGGTAATGTACATTACCATGGTGTGATGTGTGGCATATATATCTGATTAAGTTAGATAGGTATCTCATGGAACCCTCAGTTTGGCTTAAGGCATTTATCCCAAGCTTGTGATGAAGGGGACTGTTTATGCTGAACTTCTTATATATTCCTCTTCCTCTAGGGAAACACAGAGCAGATCAAGCTGAGTAGAGATGAGCAGCGGGGTCGAGGTGCCCTCTTACAGGACATCTGCAAAGGGACCAAGCTGAAGAAGGTGACCAACATTAATGATCGGAGTGCTCCCGTCATAGAGAGTGAGTCTAAGCCTAGGATTGATTTGAAAATTTGGCTGGGCTGTCATTTTTATTGCTGGGTCTTGAGTGGGCAAGTTTTTTCCTGGGATGTCTTTTGATGATCTTCCCGTAACTTAGGAAAATCTTTTCACCTTTGGGAAGCACTCTCAGTAAGACTTCCGTCTCCTAGGGTCACTAGTGCTTGTTATGCTTGTTAGGGCACATCCTTGGCTGTTCTCTGAGGAGACCACTACAGTCCCCAAAACCGCTCAGCGGAAGCCAGTGATGAGTTCATAACTGCTGCAAGTGTCCGTTCCGAAAGGCCACTGGAGAGTGTGTTCACACCTGTGTCCCTGGCCGTTCTCCCCTTATAATCCTTGACTGTGAGAGCAGAGCCCAAGGAACTCTGTTGAACGTGTCTTTCTCCAGGTTATCCCTCTGGCCCAACCAAATAAGGGAAGACTGGCTCCTTGTTCCTTTTGTTGTTTTTCTTTCATCGCAGCAAAGACTTTCATCCCTACATGAAGCTGTGGAGCAGAGAGGCTTCACTTTTATTTTTTTAATGCAAAGGCAAAAGCAAGATTGGCTTGTTTGCAAATTAGAACCCAAATAGAAGAGGAGTTTTTCCTCAGGATTAAGTTGGTCACCAGCTTGGAGCATATGAAATGAAAGCTCTGATGGTATGCTTTCCAGAACCCAAAGGAAGCGGTGGTGGTTATGGCTCTGGAGCAGGTGCCCTGCAGCCCAAGGGCGGTCTCTTCCAAGGAGGAGTGCCGAAGCTCCGCCATGTGGGAGCTAAGGACGTTTCAGGTATCTGATAAGTACTTTCTTACAATATTTCCCAAGTGCATTCCTTTCCTACTGGTCCCAAGTGGTTCATCTGGGGTTGAGGAATGTGGTAGAGGTGGGAGGAAGGAGAGGGAGCAGGGGTGAAGTTATAGAGTAGATTAAAGCAAAGGCATTACATAAAAATGTATTCAACTTATATCAGCAATATTTGTTAGTGGGCCAGATTAAAACCCAGTACTATACAAATACTTTCCCTGCTGCTGTGCAAGGAAGTGAGGCTGGGTGACTTAGAGATACTAACCAATGTATCTCTAGCTCTGTTGACCCAGTGTGCTGTCTGGTCTGTTTGTAGAGAACCTAGCTGGTAAGCCAGCCCTGCAAGTTCCCAGTTCTCGAGCTGCTGCCCCAAGGCCTCCAGGGTCTACAGCCAGTGGGCGCCCTCAAGATGATACCGACAGCGGCCGAGCCTCACTCCCAGAACTGCCCCGGATGCAGAGACCTTCATTACCGGACCTCTCTCGGCCTATCACCACCAGCAGTCCGGGCATGAAGCACAGCTCCTCTGCCCCTCCTCCGCCACCACCAGGGCGGCGTGCCAACGCACCCCCTGCACCTCTGCCTATGCACAGCAACAAAGCCCCAGCCTACAACAGAGAGAAACCCTTGCCACCCACACCCGGACAAAGGCTTCACCCTGGTCGAGATGGCCCTCCTGCTCCACCCCCAGTCAAACCACCTCCTTCCCCTGTGAATATCAGAACGGGACCAAGTGGCCAGTCTCTGGCTCCTCCTCCTCCGCCTTACCGCCAGCCTCCAGGGGTCCCCAATGGACCCTCTAGTCCCACTAACGAGTCAGCCCCTGAGCTGCCACAGAGACACAATTCTTTGCATAGGAAGACACCAGGGCCTGTCAGAGGCCTAGCACCTCCTCCACCTACTTCAGTCTCTCCTTCTTTACAGAGTAATAGGCCACCTCCCCCAGCCCGAGACCCTCCCAGTCGGGGAGCAGGTAAGTGCCTGCACACACTTTTTTTCCCTAACACACTGAGAGTTGAGCTTCTCTTTTCTCTTCACTCTTTCCCCCAGAGCTCTCCTTTAGTGACTGAAGATAAGAATTCACTTACTCATTCAACAGGCTTATTGAGTGCCTTTTTGTGAGTCAGACTTTTTTGTTAGGGAAACAGCAATAAATAGAAAATGTAAAAAAATCCTGTTTTAGCATATAGTCAAATTAGTAAAAAATATATTTAAAAAATATATATACTAGTATGTAAATACATAGTATGTAGGTGCTTTAGAGAAATACAAAGCAGAGAAGGGGGATAGGATATACTGGGGTGGGATGGGGTGATGATATTTCCAGTTGCAGGGGTGGGGATGAGGTTAGGGTCAGTTTGGTAAAGACTGAAGACGGTATGGGAATAAGCTAAGCAGGCACTGAGAACAGCAAATGCAAAGACATTGAGACTGGACTAGAATGAGTGAGGGGAAGCGTGGCAGAACATGGGACCAGAAAGCTAGATTTCCACGGGAGAACATTGTAAGACTTTGTAAAGACTTAGGTTTTTACTTTGTTTCATATTGGAAGCCACTGGAGGGGTTGGAACAGAGAAGTAGCATATATTTACCTTTAAAAAGGTCACCTTAGTTAAGCTGGTGTCGTTCAGTGGTTGAGCATCAACCTATGAACCAGGAGCAGTCACGGTTTGTTTCCCGGTCAGGGCACATGTCTGGGTTGTGGCTCGATCCCCAGTGGGCAGAAGGCAGCCAATAAGTTATTCTCATCACTGAAGTTTCTATCCCTCTCTCCCTCTCCCTTCCTCTCTCTGAAGTCAATAAAAACATATTTTAAAAAATAAAATAAAAATGTCAGCTTTTATGTTGAGAACAGACTGCGGGAAGACAGAGGTGGCAAAAAGACGCCACTTATGAGGCTATTGCAAGAAACGGCAGGTGGGTAGGACCACAGCGGGTTTGGGGGAAGATACTCAGTTTTGGACAACTCAAGTTTGAGATGCCTACTAGACGTGCAAGAGGAAATAATTAATTGGTGATTGGCTATCAACTCAGAAGTTCAGAGGAGAGGTCTGGGCTAGAGAGAGAAATTTGAACGATATTGAAAACCACATGCTGAGTCAGATCACCCAGGTAGAGAGTATAGAGAAGAGGTCTAAACCTGGGGGCCCTCCTAGATTAGAGGTCAGAGAGATGAAGACTGCCAAGCTGAGAAAGAGCCTCTAGTGAAGAAGGAAGAAGGGAAAGGAAGAAAGAGGGATGGAGAAATTCCAAGATTGAGTGAGCCAAAATTCCTGGATATGAGAAAGCCCCAGACAGCTGTCCTGGTCTCCCTCACTCTGCTTTCAGTCATGCTATTTTGTAAAGAGAATACACAATCTCATCTACCTCTTCTAGGGTTGTGTCCAATGCTATAGCTGGGTCAGTTAAGTTGAAGCCCGAGATGACATTGGTCTCAGCAATACGGGGAATCTTTTTGGGGGACTCCAAACAACATGGGATCATTTTGGGTATTAGTGGAGTGGTGGAGGGAAGGTGAAAGTAAAAGTCTAATTGGAATGAGTTCACAAATGCAGGAATAAGAGAGGACTTGGAGATAAAAATATGGAAATCCCTTAAGGGAGTTGGGGGGCATCAACCTATGAATTAGGAGGTCATGGTTTGTTTCCAGGTCAGGGCACATGCCGGGGTTGTGGCCTCGATCCCCAGTGGGGGGCGTGCAGGAGGCAGCTGATCAATGATTCTCTCATCATTGATGTTTCTGTCTTTCTCTCCCTCTCCCTTCCCCTCTGAAATCAATAAAAATACATTTTTTTTAAAAGTGACATACCTATAAATGCTTTGGGAGACCAAAGAAGGAGGAGTTCGGAATAGAGTGGATTGCTTTGGGAAAGCCTTGAGAAGATGAAATTTGAGTTGAAGCTTAAAGGATAGCTAGGATTTGGTGGTGAGGGAAGAGGGATGGTATTTCCGAGTATTGTGAAGGATTCACAAGAGCAAAACATATGTAATTTGGTTTATTCAGCAAAGGTTGATTGAATGCCTACCATGTGCTGTACATTTGGTGTGGTTGGGTACTTAAATGAATGGACAGTCTACTGGGAAGGGGCACATACAGTCTACTGGGAAGGGGCACATCTAATGACTAATTACAGTACAATATAGTAGAATGGATGAGATACAGAGGTGACAGTGGGAGTGCAGACGAGAGGTACCTACCCCAGCCTAGAAATCAAGAAAGGAAGAGGAGAACTGGCTGGCATGGCTCCATGGTTAGAGCATTGGCTTGCACACCACAGGGTCGTGGGTTTTATTCCAGGTCAAGGGCACATAGCTGTGTCCAAGTGCCTGCAGGAGGGAGGCAACCAGTGGATGTGTCTCACTCACATCAGTGTTTCTCTCTCTCTCTCTCTCTCTCTCTCTCTCTCTCTCTCTCTCTCTCTTTCTCTCTCTCTCTCTCTCTCTACCTCACTCCCTTCCACTCTCTGAAAAGCAATGAAAAAAATATCCTCGGGTGAGGATTAACAAAAAAAAAAAAAAAAAAAGGAAGGAAGGTGAGATCAGACTGACTGGGGTAATGGGTTACTGTATAAGAAAGGAGGATAATTGGGGGAAACTCAATTGGGTTGGAAGCTAAGAGTTTGAAACTTTATGATGTAGGAACTGCAAAGCTCTTGAAAAAGTTTGAGCAAAGTGTGGGGAGATTAGTGAGTTGATGGTGCACACAGAGGATTGGTATAAGAGATTAGAAGCAAAAAGAACATTTGGGAGGCTTTTTGCAGTAGAACAGACTAAGTATGAGAAAGTCCTGAATTAGAATTGTGGAGGAAGACATGGAAAAGCAGGAAAAAAATCAAGAATACATAGAGTTCTTGAATGACTTGTGGGAAATGAAAAAGTCACACATTTATTCTGCACTTTGGTAGAGCAGGGATGGGAGGAGGGTGAATATGATATGTCACATGGTGCTCAGAGGCTCACAGAGCCTCTATAGCCAAACCTAACTGCTTTGGATTTTAATTGCAGCTCCTCCACCCCCGCCACCCATGATCCGAAATGGTGCCAGGGATGCTCCCCCTCCCCCACCACCATACCGACACGGGTCAGAACCTCTGAGCCGAGGAAAGCCCCCACCCCCGCCCTCAAGGACGCCAGCTGGGCCACCACCTCCTCCTCCTCCACCCTTGAGGAATGGCCACAGAGATTCTATTACCACTGTTCGATCTTTCTTGGGTGAGTAGCTAGCTGTTTTAGTCTCATAGTTCCTGTGGTGACTTCCTAACTCCTGTAGAATGGGAATGGTCACTTACAGCTGTTCACAGCAGTTCCTCTCCTGACTTTACATCTGACTTCTAGTGCCTGTCCATTGATGTTCCTTTCCTTATGCAAATTCTAAGCATGGGTTGCTTTGGGATAGATTGAAGTAAAATCAGCAGGGTGTCATGCTAACTCTAAAGCCATTCTCTTGCTCCTTAAGGATCATTAGCTGTGGTTACCTTTAAGACAGAGACTTCATCTTCTTCAGGATTATTCAAACAGGAAGTGAGCATTCCTCTAGGAAGGAGAGCTCCTTTCTGGCCCTTTAAAAACAAAATAAACTTTCTTTCCAACTTGGGCCCGGCATGATGGCTCTCACAAAGAAGGGTAGCAAGAAGAGGGGCCCTTCCATCAAAGTCAGTGACCAGAGAATACACCATCAACAGTCACAAGCACATCCATGAAGTGAGTTTCAAGAAACACTCAAAGAAATGCAAAAATTGGCCATGAAGGAGATGGGAACTCCGGATGTACACAGTGACACCAGGCTCAACAAAGCTGTCTGGGCCAAAGGAGTAAGGAATGTCCCATACCATAGTGAGGATGAAGATTCACCAAGCAGTCTCCGTGTATTGGTTACCTACATACCTGTCACCACTTTTAAAAACCTACAGTTAATGTGCATGAGAACTAACTGCTGATTGTTGAAGAAAGTTATAAAACTGCCACACAAAAAACATCCCACTAGGTAGACAATATTTACCTAGTAAACCAAAGCCACTAACTAGCTGTGTTACTTTAAGGACGTTGCTTCACGTCTCTGGGCCTCACTTCCCTTATCTGTGAAATGAGGAGGTTGAGTAAATCAGGAGTGTGTCAGAGTAACTTTTCCAAGGTTATCAATGAATCTTAGGCCCCACCTAAGATACATTTTTTTAACCTACCTCTCTAACTCGTATTTCATCTTGTTAACTTCTTTAATTAGTTATTTATTCTTAAAATCTTTATTGTTGAAAGTATTAAATATGTCCCCCTTAACCCGCATTGACCCCTTCTAGCCCGCCCCTTGCCCCAGGCCTTGTCTGTGTTCACGGGTTACCCAAAGGTATCATTAGACTCCTGGGAAGATCTGTACAATCCCTTTCAGACCTAACACTCTTGTCTACCCTTGCTCTAGTGTATTCTGATTAGGTGGACCAGGGTTTTTGCTTTGAAGATCAAGTCCTTTGGAAGGTCACCAAGCCACACCCATAGAGCATTTGAGCCTTCTTATAGAGGGGCCGTGGGAAGTGGGCACGGGGCCATGAGATGGCTATCCCAACTGTGTTGCAGAACTACATGAGGGTAACCTGGGCCAAAAGGGAATTATCTGGTCAGAACTCTCACTCGTTGTGACAAATATTCCCATTTTAGGTTAATTTCTACCAATTTGTAGATTCAGTTCAGTTGGTATCCCATGGTGATAGTCTCTAAGATGGCTGTGTTAAAGAATTATATTTTTTTCTCCTCCCATTCAAACAGCTGTGCTCCTTTCCTGTTAGATGCCTGGTTTTTGGTGGAAATATTTTTTAAAACCAGGTCAAGCCCTAGCCGGTTTGGCTCAGTGGATAGAGCATCGGCCTGGGGACTGAAGGGGACTGATTCCAGTTAAGGGCACATACCTCGGTTACAGGCTCCTTCCCGGCTGGGCCCGGCAGGAGGCAACCAATCGATGTGTTTCTCTCACATTGATGTTTCTGTTTTTCCCTCTCTCTAAAAATCATTGGAAAAATATCCTCGAGTGAGGATTAACAAAACAAACAAATAAACAAAAACAACCAGGTCAAAGACTAATTCCTTAATGTAAAGAGCCTTTGAGCACATCTTCTGGGCATACAAGGCACATAGAGCAGTGCTATTGCTGTCCTTAGGAACCTGGGTTTAGTGGGCAAGGCAGGCCCTCACGTACATCAGAATGAATGGAGACCAATAAGGGGAGGGTCAGAAGTGGCACGAAGAAGAGTCAGAAGGGTGATATGAATTAATATTCTGTTTCTTTTGTAGATGATTTTGAGTCAAAGTATTCTTTCCATCCAGTAGAAGACTTTCCTGCTCCAGAGGAATATAAACACTTTCAGAGAGTATATCCCAGCAAAACAAACCGAGGTGAGACGAGTAGTCATGAAAGTTTTTTCATAATTGCATAAAAAATAAAATCAGTGTGCTTTTCTTAGAAATTTTCTTAAAATTTGTTTCTCCTCATCTTCATTTTCTTTAAAAACAAAAACAAAACCTAATCCCTCAGTGTTAAAGATTAGCTTATAGAACTTGTCTCTCATTTTAGGAATGTTTGGTTATTCAGGATCTGGTGGGTAGTCTTGTGTATGTGGTTTTTATTGTTAATGTTTTTCAGCTGCCCGTGGAGCCCCACCTCTGCCACCCATTCTCAGGTGAAGCCTGGCTTGGTCCTGTTCCTCAGGAAAAGGATGGACCCTCTCCTCCTCTCAGATGGTCCCTCCCATTCCCCTGAAACCTGCATGAGAACTCCTGACGTGTTTCTCCAGTGCAACCAACCTCTAGACTCCAAGCATCCTCCCAGCTCGCCTCCATCTATGCATCTCGTCTTCTGGACTTGGTGATTGGACTCTATATTGACAGTAGGGTCTCAAACCCTGCGTCCATCCCTCCTCTAGCAATCCCTGCTAACCAGATGAGGAAACAGCTTCCAAGTCGCCTGCTTTCCTCGTGGGGAAAGGTGCCTTGTTGTGATGAATTAACTCATTGTTGGGGCAGGGCGGAGAATGGTACTCCTACCTCCTCCTACCCACTTTGGGGGAAGCGTGGCAGGTATATTTCATCATTTAGGAAGCTGACATGGCTGGCCAGGACTTGGGGGTTGGGGACATTTTTAGTGAAACAAGAAAGGAGTTTGCAGAGAAGTGATCTGTTTTAAAGGTCAAGTTTGGAGAAAGGACAAGGGAGTGGGTCTGCTTTATTTTCAGGGGCATTTTGGTTTTGCTCTTACCCTACCCCATATCCTCACTCCAGGGATAACTTGGATATAAACACTAAATACTAATCAGTTGAACTAAACAGCTAATAAAAAGGGAGGGTAAATAAACTGGCGAGCCTTTTAGCGTTAGTCAGTTTCCCTGCAGCAAAGGGACCAGGAGCCATTTGAGTCCTGGGGCTCCCCACCCCATTCCTCAGGGTGCTGGGCTGAGGGACGCTGTTTCTTCCCACCACCACCCAGGCCCTCAAGAGAAAAGTCACTTTCGTTCATTCCATGTTCACAAACTCCAGAAACTTCTATGAGAGAGAGGAAGATAGGGCTGGGGTCTTGGTCTTATCTAAGACCTTGAGTCCACCTCAGTCTTTTCTGGCTGGTCCTGAAGGGCAGGGGTCCACTCAGTCCTGTCCAGGAACTACAGCCCTTGCTGGGTACGCCACGCTGGCAAAGAGGGGAAGGTGAAGCTTGTAGAGTTCACAGCCCACTCACTGAAAGGACCTTCCTATTCTTTTCTCTCCACCCTTGCCTGTCCAAGACGGAGGGGTGAACAGCAGAGTAGAGAACGGGGAGGAAGCTCATGAGTCAAAGATTCCTCTGTGCCAAGAAACACAAAGACTTTGGTGAGGTGACTCTCAGCCCAGTTATCTTCTTTGGCAGCCACCAATATGTTGTGTCTTCGTCTTCCAGGTCCTAGTTCAAGAACAGCAGAATAGGGCTCCTGGGCTCCACACACAGGTGTTTGGTTTGCTACTGACAAGTGTAGAGGCTACTCAAAGCTTGAAGTAAGAGCAAGGAGGCCCAGGTGACTTTTTGGGATGGTTGGGGAAAGTCTGTTAAAAAATTACATCACAGGCTTGAACTATTTTAGGGACCTTTCCAGCCTATTGGATCATAGACTGAGGATCTGTGCGTGGTGCCGGATGAAACCCAAGTCTTCCCAGTGCTAGAAGAGAGAGGGCTCATCTTGGGTTATTTGTATGGGGTCTGCTATCCTTTATCATCTCCTGGACCATATTGCCTCTTGGGACAAGCAGTGATTAGGTCTGTCCTCACACTTCTCTAACCATTATCATTCTTATTTTCAGACCTGTTAGTAGTTATCTCCCAGCCATGTCCCTGGCATCCCGAAGTGAATAGAGCTGAGAGAGGGGACAAGAGTGGCTACTGCAGCAGCGTTCCAGGGTAGATGCTGATGAGTTACTCAACTTGGACTGTGAAGTCTTCCCATTTATTTTTGAAATGGGAGCTGATGCCTTTTGTATAATGTTATAGAAATGTATTTTTTCCCCTTTCCTCAAACATAGAACATCAAAATAAGTATCACAAGTGAAAGCCAAACCACAGCTTTTCATTGGGGCTGATACCTTCCTCCCCTGTGACCTGCTGCTCATATCCCCAGCATTTGGACTGTGTCACATGGGTATTGATTATTTTCATTTTCTTGGCCTCATGGGAAAAGGCCTCAGTCTAGATCTAGTTAGATGCATTTTCTTCAGCGCATGTTGGTGACACGGTACTTATTTAAATGTCTTTTGCCTTATACATATTTCGTCCCTCTGTTAATAACAGATTTATTATCATGTATATTTACTATTGAAGAATGGGAATGTGATCCTCATAGTTATTGATCTATTTTGTATGTTGTAAAAAGCTTGTAATATAGATTGAAGGTGGGCTGGCTGCAAGAGCACTACAACTTCTCACCTTTTAAATGGCTTTTTATCTGTTTATGGCAATGTTGTCTCTTCCATGGGAGATGGGTGGTCTCATGTTGAGGCTATTGCCCAGTCCCATTAACCCCTTCTCCCCTCCCAGAAGGAGGAGGCATTGCCCAACTAAGCAGGAAGCTGTGTTAAAAGCCCTTGTGTGGGTTTGATTTCATGATGTTTTTCTCTAGGGGGGAAAACTTAATACTATAGTTGTTTCTTACCGCCCTTTCTGGGAAGTAGGGCAGTGGCCTCCAGGTTTTTAAATGAGCTTAGATGCCCTCCTTCCCCCTCTTCTCTGGTCACCAAACCTGGATCAAAGCACTTGGATATTCTAGGTGTGGTTTTCTCTGTCATGGGGATTTCCTCCAGCAGCAGAGCCCTATCATTTTCCCAGCCTGGTTGCACAGAGAGAGGGTCGAGGGCTACCCCACCCAGTGGATGTGAAGCTGCTGTCTCCAGAAATTCATCCCAGTCCTTCCAGCTGGCAAAGGCAGAGAGACTAGCCACTGCCCATTGCACTGGGGGCACCCCCTCACCCCATAGTTTCCCAACTTGAAACCCAGATTTACCTCCAGGGAGAGGTGAGGAAAATTGTAAATAGACTTGCTACAGAGCAACTCAGGTTGGGGTGTGTTTTAATTCTCCTGATCACTTGAAATAATCTGTAGGCTGAGTGCTTATGGGAGTGGGGGAGAAGAGTGGCTCCAGGGTCTGCTGCGGAGCTCTGGGGGTGGAGTGTAGGGCATCTGAGGCCCTTTTGATGGCACTACACTGAGCTGTCTGTCCTTCTGGAAACCCAACCTACAATCAACCACAGATCAAATTCTTCACATTCCAGTTGTAGTTTCTTTCCCTATTAAATCTCAGTCCCTGGCTATGTAGTTAGGGTAGCTTTCCCTAAACTTAGGGAGTGGAAGGCATTACAACTCTGCCTTCAAGACTCATCAAAATGAAACAAAACTACAACCACCTTCAAAACACACACACACAAAAAAAGAATAACTGTTTAACTGAAGGAAGGGTTTGGTTCCATTCGACTCCACGTTCATTGTGCCTTTACTTGTGTTAGATTTCTGTGCTTTCTTCCTCTCTCCCTCTTTGAAGCAATTAAAATCTTCCTTGATAACTGCTGTTTCCTTCTTTCTACTCTTGTTTCTGACATCAGTGGGTTCCCTAATTGTCTTAAATCTCATTTTACTGATGGCAGAGGGGCCAAGCCTACTTTTCTCATATCTATCTTTCGTCATTTCCCAACACTACCAGCATGGAAGTCAGTCAACACTGAATAAAAGACTAGAATGCATGTGTGAAGAGCGTGAGTGTGTATATGTGTGTCGGTTTTCTTTTAAAAAATAATTTATTGTGTGATTTATTTTGGAGTTGTATTCTGATTATAGTGCTCCCTCTCCCAATTAGCATTGATTTTTTTTCCAACCCCCTAAAAAATGTATAATCTGGTCTCAGGTTGGATTCTTCGGTACATTTGTTTCTCCTGGATGCCGTGCGGTTTAATTAAACATTGCTTACAAACAAAACCAAAAACTGAAAACTGTGTACTCTTGTCTGGAATCTCGCCTCCTGTGGTGGCATAGAGAGGGGAGAAAACCTGTGACCGCACGTTCCAGGTTGTGTGGTCATTTGACCCCAGGTCCTCTCGGGAGGTAGGTCCACTGACCTGGGCAGAAGCATCTGCAGCTTCTTAAGAGTTTTCTGTCCTTCCCTCCTGTTACGTTTTGAAAACCACAGTGCTGGGTAGCCATTCTGACTGGGTGATTCTGATAGAGTTGGCCATTATTTATATTTGCCACCTGAAACCTTTTTGCTTATGGTTTCGGGAAACCCAGACACCTCCTGGCCTTGTGTCTTTTCTTTGTGTCCCTTGTGATGCCTTCTGCCTGCGCTGCACGCCAGATTCGCACACTGAGGCGTGGAAGAAAAGGTGGAGGCAGAGCATGTAGATTGTGTGTGTGTCTGTTTTTATGTGGGTGTTGGCTGTTTTTCTTCACTACTTTTTAAGTTGGAATCTAAGCAGGCTTTCTTGAACTTTGACTTTAGGTGTAAAAATTAAACCAGACATTCTCTGCTTACTATGGTCAGCTGACATAATCACCACTAGGACTTATTGAGCTTAACTTGCACTTTCATCACGGGCAAAGGTCTTGAAATTGTTTCCCATACTGATTTCAGAATGGGTGTGTACATGAATCACTCTCACATACTTTAGATATCAAAATCTATGAGGCTCCTTTCATTTTCACCCATACTTGCCAAATTGGTCTCATTCCTGATTATTTGACCCATCATTGTTATTAATATGATGAATAAACTACCTATTTTGATTTGTTACTCTTGTAACTTTCAATAGCTCTGAAATGGAGCTTGCCTAAACGACCCTCAACTTCCTAATGCTATAATCTTTCTCCGTCCTATTGGGATGGTCCTGCTAATGTGTGTGTATGTGTGTGTATGTGTACATGTACTTGTACAACAGGATGCCGGACAGGTCCTTCCAGTGTGATCTGATTCCTTCCCTCATGATACTGTGTATGAATTAGCAGTTGATAAGGGCAGTAGTTTGCCCAGTCTAATGATACTGGGACACCCTGCTCACTGTGAATGTGCCTCTTAAGTTTTCCTGCCCCAACCCAGCCACAAACTGTGACTCACTGTAAAGAAAGCTGCTGGTCTCTGACTTCCTATTACTCTGCAGAGGTGAGAGAACTAAACTGTCAACCTCAGGACCCTAACTGCCCTCGAGGATAACTGGAGGGGAAATACTTCACCTCTGACATCACTGGAGCCCCGTCTGCATTGTTTTTTACATATAATTGAATTTATTCTCCACTTGTAGGTTTAGGTGTGTGAAATTTAAAGGACTATATAGTGTCTATCCACAAAAAATCTTCATGAGGCATGTCCTTTCCATTCAGCAAGCACTTATTGCATACTTTACTCTGTGCCAGGCATCTGTAATATGAAGATGAATAGGACAGGGCCTTTGCCTCCAGGGATCTCAGAATCTAGTAGAAGACTTCAGGACAGCTACCAAGAGAAACCTCTGCAGGCTATTAAAAGGCTTCATGGGCCCGGCCAGAGTGGCTCAGTGGTTGAACTTCGACCTATGAACCAGGAGTTCAGTTAGATTCCTGGTCAGGGCACATGCCTGGATTGTGGGCTCGATCCCCAGTGTGGGGCGTGCAGGAGGCAGCCAATCAATGATTCTCTCTCATCATTGATGTTTCTATCTCTTTCTCCCTCACCCCTTCTCTCTGAAATCAATAAAAATACATATTTTTTTAAAAAGGCTTCATGGTAATTAGCCAGGGAAGGAAGATGGTGAGCAGTATTCCAGGCAGGAAATAGCAAGGACAGAGGCACAGAAGCAAGAAACCGCATGGTGGTGTGTGCAGCATGCTACTGGAATATTGGAATGCCTCAGGTCGGTAAGCTTTTAGAGACCTTTCGATCTGACATCCTGTGATTCTCGGCCTGCTTCTACGGTCGTCATTCACTCCTGCAAGCTTTTTTATAGACCACTGCTATCCTTCCTGGTGTTGTCAAGGCTCCAGTATGCATGTTAAGTACTTATAGCTTCCTCTGCTCCCTCCCTCCCATGTAATGGAGGGAGGCTGTTCACAATTTCTTAAGACTGGTTGGGCACATGTTACCATTTCAGGCTACTAAGGACAATTTTCAGGTGCCCAGTTGTAAAAATAAACATGAGCAGTGAAGGTTGCTTTTTAGGTTCTATTGCCCTATTAAGATATCAAAAATACCATCTGGTCAAAAGCCTCCATTTTATTTTATTTCATTTTAAATAGATTTTTATTAATTTCAGAGAGAAAGAGAAAGGGAGAGAGAGAAAAACATCGATGATGAGAGAATTCTTTGATTGGCTGCCTCCTGCATGCCCCACACTGGGGATCGAGCCAGCAACTCAGGCATGTGCCCTGACCTGGAATCGAACCGTGATCTCCTGGTTCATAGGTCCATGCTCAATCACTGAGCTATGCCAGCTGGGCAAAAAGCCTCCATTTTAGGCCCTAGCTGGTTTGGCTCAGTGGATAGAGCCTCAGCCTGCTGACTGAAGGGTCCCATGTTTAATTCCAGTCAAGGGCACATGCCCGGGGTGCAGGCTCGGCCCCCAGTAGAGGGCATGCAGGAGGCAGCTGATCAGTGATTCTCATCATTGATGTTTCTATCTCTCCCTGTTGCTTCCTCTCTGAAATCAATAAAAAATTACATATATATATATATATATATATATATATATATATATATATTTTAAAGCCTCCATTTTAGGGTAACACTTTTACAGTCATGCTACCTAATCTCTTCACTGTTACAGTTTTCAGCTCCTGGAAAGCCTTCCCGAAACCTGCTTCCTAACCATCTCTCCCTGTTTAGAAGGCCACTGTGGAACCTGCATCTGTCTAATCCTCCCCCATGTTTAATGGTTGAGAGTTTGATTTCCTGTCAGACTTTCCCAGTTCAAATTCCAGCTCTTCCACTTACTAATGTGTGCCCTTGGTGAAATTTACTCAACCCCTTCTATTCCATTTCCTCATTTGTAAAATGGAAATAATGCCAACTTCATGGGGTGCTTGTGAGAATTAATAAGGTGACATAGGTAAAATGCTTGAACTCAGTCCCTGGCATACACTTAAGCACTCAGTATTGGCTCTTATCTACTATATGAACTAACTACAATTAACTGACGATTGTAATATTGCTTTCCTGTTTCTCAGCTTTATTGCTCTATTTTATTTGATATTGAAGGATGAAAGATAAATGCTTACCATCACCTAGAATTGGGTTTTGGCCTTTAACAGAATCTGAGGCATAGCTATGTTATTAGCTTTGGAAGCTGCCCTATAAATTACTGCTCTAATTTATATTTTTCATTAAAAGCTCAGCTTGCCTCTTCTTCTATAGCCATCTTCTCTGGCCCTGAAACCCTAGTGTTTAGCCATAAAAAAATTTTTTTTTAAATGAAGGGGTCATAATTCTCTCCACTCCCTACAAAGTGTTGATTAATGGGATTAATGATAAGAAGGTATACAATATATTCTTACCTTTAACAAAATAAAAGCAAAGGCCTGGCTTTATTTCTCACCTTTGAAATACAAATCAGGGGAATATTATAATGAGGGGTAGTATATTTCGTTATGCATGCGTAGAACTTTACCAAAAAAAAAAAAATTGGTTTGGGTGTCAGGAAATCTGGATCCTAGATCCTTCAACAAGATGCTGTGACCCCTAATTGACCCTATGCACATTTGATTTGTGCCTTGCAGGGTTGAGTAAAGCTCCTAGCATCATATCTGACTCCCAGAACTGTCCCCAAAATGATAGGTATTATATAGTAGCTCACTAAAAATGTAGCCCATTAGGATAACGAAAATGGGTTAAGTGCAGCACTGAGAAGAAGCAACCACATCTTTGTACCTCCCATCGAGAGAAAGGCATAGAAATAGAGTCGCCTGCGGCAAAGACTACATCTCCCGCCGAGCTTTGCGGCGTGTCCAGTTCGCCTTACCCAGCGTCGCTCCCTTCACGTCTTTCCGGCGGAGGTCCCGGATGTAGATGGGCACCCTCCGCTCAGTAGGCGTGGCCTTCAGAGGGCTCCGAGACCTGGGACTCTCTTATTGGTTGTGCATTGGAGGGTGGGCGTTGGCCTAGGAGCGCGGCATTGAGGCGACAGCCAATTAGAAGCCTGTCTGGACTTTGGCGGGAGGCCGGAAAGCTACAACTGTGCACATTTGGCGCGAATGTGTCTGGACTTGGCTGCTGCCGGTTTGTCCTGGAGCTTGAAAGAATCCCTGAAGCCTTGCGCGAGAGAGGAGAGAAGGATCCGGTACTGAGGTGACGCAGCCCTGTGGGGTGGAGAGGAGAGGATGGCCCCGGGGCGCCTGGGGTCAGAGAAGTAGGGGCGCTGAGTGACAAGGCCCGAGGGCGCCGGTGATGCCCGAGGTGAAGTGAGCGGAGCAGAGCCCAGATCGCGGGAGATAGGTCGGGGAAGGGAAGGGAAGGGAGGTGTGCGCTGTCGGAGCAGCCTGGCTGGCAGCTGTGCGTAGGTGATGCAGGGGGAGATGTTCCGGGTGGGGTTGCGAGCTGTGCGGCGTGGAGACTGAGTGCTGAGTGAGGCCTGGGGGTGGCGTGGGGCGAGGCTGGAAGGGGCTGGGGTGAGGGAATTAGGAGTGCGATCGAGACCATCAGGATAAACTTCTCGCATCGCTCAAGCGGGTAAGAACGTGGAGCCAGAGTGCCTGGTTCGCTGTGCCTTCGGGGCCCCTGAGCTCTGTTTTCTCGTCTTCAAGGTCATTTTAATAATAGTACCTTCCTCTGAGGCAGTTGGTTGTGAAACTCAGATGAGGCGATACCTGAACTGCTCCGAACAGCTTCGTACTCAAGTTGGAGACAAGTTTCTGCTCTTATTGCATCGATTGGGGTGGGAAGCAGAGCTGGGCGCTCCAATATCGTGATCATTTACTTAGGCAATAAATGCCGACCGTCGGCATGAATTCCGTGAGGTCTTTCCCTTCGGTGTTACGTGTTGACTGGCTCTCCCGTTCTCTTTTCCGTGCCCAGCTGTGCAGCCATCATGCCTCAGACCCGATCCCAGTCGCAGGCCACCATCGGTTTTCCAAAAAAGAAGCCGTCTCGGACCGTGGACAAAGCTAAAAGCTGCAGTGACACCAAACTGGAGCTGACCAAGGTCCAGGCCATCCCCCGGACTCCCTGTGCAAAAAGCCTGCCCCTCAGCCCCAGGAAACGTCTGGGTAAGCCACCCTTTCCGAGCCCTTTGCGCCCCGCAGCTCTCGACCTCCCTTTACTCAGCAATAAGAATGCCTAGTCCTCGGAGGCCGGCAAGTTCTGTTAAGGCCACTCTATTCACTCTGGGGGTTTTTCAGGACGATGGCTGAGTTCTCGCTGAATTTCAGAGTTAAGATCACTTTCTGCAGTATTTAATAGGCCTGATCTTCTGTGTCTTCATTGAACTCAGTGCTGTTGGTTATTTTAAAGGACCTTGCATGCATAGCCCATGGACACAGACATTAGTGGGGTGAGGGCTAGGGGAGGGGGCTGGGTGGACGTGGGAATGGGGGAGGGGAATGGGGGACATCTGTAATACTGTCAACAATAAAAAATAAACTTTTTAAAACAGTGACCTTGCAGTTAACTGTACTGTATAATATTTTTGAAACTTGCCTTAATGGTGGTGAAATTAAGAGACACGGGTGATGCTCTTTGTTTTAGAAAGGTCGTTGGCAATCCTTTCTTGTTTTAGTTTGTTTTTAATGAGGGGTGGTTGGGTAGTAGTATCCGGAGACATTTTTGGTTGTTGACACTGAGGTGTGCTTCTGGCATAACGGATAAAGACCAGGGATGCTGCTAAATATTCTACCATGAACAGGGGACACGCCCAAGGATTATTTGGTCTAATATATTAGTGGTGCCAACGCTGAGAAACCCTGTTTTAGAACCATCTTAGAATTTCATCCCACTCAAACCCATTTGGTTTCTACCCAACAATAGTGAGACTCAGTGTTGCCATCTGGTGGCCAGTATTTGCTTCTAAATCTAAAATGAAAGGCGTTTTATTTTGGTGGCTTTGGCTGAGGTAGGAATTCACCTCTTTCTGGGGGAGGCAGGGATCTTTGCAAGTCCTTTTACTAATCACTGCCGCGAACGACCATGCTTTGATTTTAATGTGTTTCAGGTGATGACAACCAATGCAACACTCCCTGTTTATCACCCTGTTCTCCACCAAAGCTGGGCAGGAAAGAGAATGGTCCCCCTCACTCACACACCCCGAGGGGACGCAAATTGGTCTTTGACAATCAGCTGCCAGTTAAGTCTCCAGGCAAAAGAAGACAAGCCAGAGTTCACCAGAACAAAATATGTGCCTCCGTTCAAAAAGGTCCAGAGGTCACAACAAGTTCCGAGCAGAGATGTCCACTGGAGAAAGAATCCGCCTGTGTGAGGCTGTTTAAGCAAGAAGGTTCGTTCTCTCACAGCAGCTGTGAGTGCAGCCTTTCAACAAGGCTGGCAAGTCCAGATGAAACCCATTGGGTCTTCTCAGTCGCCTCTGTTGTATCTAATTGTCCTTTCATGTCTGGCACAGGCACTTGCTACCAGCAAGCAAAGCTGGTCCTGAATACAGCTGTCCCAGATCGGCTGCCTGCCAGGGAAAAGGAGATGGATGTCATCAGGAATTTCCTGAGGGAGCACATCTGTGGGAAAAAAGCTGGAAGTCTTTATCTTTCTGGTGCTCCTGGAACTGGAAAAACTGCCTGCTTAAGCCGAATTCTGCAAGACCTCAAGGTGCTTTGAGAGTCTGAATTATGATGCTCTTGCTAAAATGGCACTTCGTTGTTAAGGGTTAAGAAAAAGTAGAAGTCTTAGGTGACATTTCCCCCAAAAAAGACGTTTTCAATTTCATTGTCTGAATCTTTCCAAATGAAAGGAGAGCTTACTCTTTCGTATGCTGTTGACTCCTCAGACACTTCAGGTTCCATCAAATCTTTATCCAAGGCTAAAATTACTCCTATGTTTGCATTTTTCTAGAAGGAGCTGAAAAGTTTTAAAACTATCATGCTGAATTGCATGTCCTTGAGGAGGGCTCAGGCTGTATTCCCAGCAATTGCTCAGGAAATTTGTCAGGAAGGAGTATCCAGGCCAGCTGGGAAGGACATGATGAAGAAACTGGAAAACCATTTTACTGCAGAGAAGGGCCCCATGGTGTAAGTATTGCTCTGCCGCGTGCTGCCCTCTAAAAATCTGCAGGGTCTCTCACCCACAAACTCACATTCTAATCTCTTGAATTTATTGGTTTGTTCATAAAAAGACATCCTATGTAATAAAAGCCTAATATGCTAAGTGTCCAACCGTTTGTTCAACCAGTCACTATGATGCACACTGCCCACCAGGGGGCAGACGCTCCAACTGGTAGGTTAGCTTGCTGCTGGGGTCCAGCCAATAGGGACTGGGTGAGATGGGCCAACACACCCTGGAGCCCTCCCATGGTCCCTCCCTGGCCCCGATCGTGCACCGGCGGGGTCCCTCGGCCTGGCCTGCGCCCTCTCGCAATCCGGGACCCCTCGGGGGGATGTCGGAGAGCCAGTTTCAGCCTGATCTGCACAGGCCAGCCCAAGGGACCCCACCGGTGCACCGGGCCTCTAGTTTCCCTATATTTGCTCTATGAGTGGTAGTTACATAAGCTTAAAGGGAAAGAAGAAAGGAAAATGACACCTAATTTTAAATTGGAAAAATGTTTTTAAACTAAGTGCTTGAAAAACCTATAATGGTACTTTTTCATGATGGTGGAGGGGGGATCATTTGTAACAGTGACTGGAGACAGGACAAATTATGATCTTCAAGCTGATCTCTGCTGTAGGAATGTGACCTAGAGTCAGCCCAGATCAAACAGATCGGAGAGTTAAGAAAGTGAACACGGGTACTAACTGTTTCTCTTTCCATGTAGTGTGTTGGTGTTGGACGAGATGGATCAGCTGGACAGCAAGGGGCAGGATGTATTGTACACACTGTTTGAATGGCCCTGGCTAAACAATTCTCGATTGGTGCTGATTGGTTAGTGCCCATTTGTTACTGTTACATGGTGACTCTAAAGAATTCTTTTTTAATCTCTTTAGTTTATTTATCACCTATTACTTTATTTTAAACCAGCTTTCTTATCAAAATAAGAACATTACTCTAAAATAATAGTAATTTTAATCTAAGGAAGATCAGTTTGTTAAGTCTGAATAGAAATGACATAATACTGCATTTCAGAGACACCCAGTGTTGATTTTTGGAGTATCTGATTCTGCTTATCGGTGAACAATCCTAATATACATCTTACCTAATGAGTTTTGGGCGGGGACAAGGGGGCAGCAAGTGGGAAGCAACAATTGGAATGCTGGATTACAACTAGAAATTTTATTCAGCTTTCAGATGGTTTATTTTTCCTTGTAGGATGATTTGATGGTTAGTGTTATTTATCTCTTCCGCAGGCATTGCTAATACCTTGGATCTCACAGACAGAATTCTGCCGAGGCTTCAAGCTAGAGAAAAATGCAAGCCACAGCTTTTGAACTTCCCACCTTATACCAGAAATCAGATAGCCACTATCTTGCAGGATCGACTTAATCAGGTGAGGGACAAACATTGTACCAAATTGTGTGTTCCTTGGATCACCTGTGTTGGAAAAATCTAACAGTAGCTCTAAATATTTTGTTTGGGTGGCATTACTAACCATGGAGTTCCTATGGGCCATAGGGAGAACATTTTTATAAGAATTTTCACCCATGGCTCCATTTATTGGGTGCCTCCGTGTTAAAATAAAAATAAGAGAGGAATCACTCAAATGCTTCTTCAATTAGACCTTTCAAAATAGGGCCTATGAGAAAACGTTCTCTTTGGGAAATGACCAAATCGGTTTTATTTTAGTTTAGTTTTGCTAATTTAAGGTCTGATTACATTCTTTTTTCCATTTATGGACATATATGCCAGTCTCATAAGTAAATCTCCATTTACTTACGAGCAGAAAAGGCATCTCTTAGACCCTACAGGGTAGCCAATCAAACTTAGACTTCAGTGTGAAAATATTTGTGCCTGGGATCTAAATTACAAAGTGGGGGACTCATAGTTCAAACTGTCACCTTCTGTGTCTTGTCCAAAGGTATCCAGAGATCAGATCGTGGACAGTGCTGCGATTCAGTTCTGTGCCCGAAAAGTCTCTGCTGTTTCTGGAGACGTTCGCAAAGCACTAGATGTTTGCAGGTGAGTTATGGCTCTGTTGGCTGCTTTTATTAAAAAAAAGAAATGCTGTTTAATTGTCTCGTGTAACTCAAGTGAATGTGGCTTAAGAGGCTCCGTTCTGCCACTTTTTTATGCTCCGAAAAGAGGACTTGTTTCTCAGTGGGGAGTTCTGCATTTCCACCGTGTTAATGTCTGAAACATTATCAGTCCATTACCTACAGAGGGAGGAACAAATGAGATGTTGCTGGCACTCCCTGTGGTGATTATAGATTGGTTAATTACATTTGTATTAAAAAAAGACTCCAGTTTACTTTTCCATTAGCTGGTCTCAAGCAGGTTTATTTATGGACCTGAACCATCTTTGCCTTTAGACATTTTTCCCCTCCCTTTGCTTTTTTTGTGTGAGCACCCCTTCCTTCAGTCGGTGGTCCCCACGGTTGTACTCCAGACCTCTCTCCCTTCCCATCCCCCTGTCCCTCCTGCCGGGGAAAGCCTCTGTGCTGACTGATGAAATTTCTTCCTTCCCAGTAGGGGCACTGGGCCCATTAAAATGATACTTGCTGTGCTGGCCTGCTGGTCCGACCTCCCCCTACTGCCATACAGAAGATCCAGGTCTGGCTTCTGGCTTCCTGTGGGCAAAGTAGTTCGGAGAGAGCAGTGGGAGAGTAAGCTCTGCCTACTGCTCCATGGCAGGATCCTGGCTGGATCTGAAAGTTTCCCCTAGTCAGCAAACTGCTTGGGAAAGACCAGCTCCGAGCAATAGTCCTGGAGGCTGGTGCGGTGTAGCCTACACAGATGGCAGTATCGAAAACGGAGGACTGCCCTTTCGGGTCTGGGGTGGATGGGTGGTGCCGGCTGTCTTTAGTCCGCTGCCCACACTGTATTCTCTCTCCTATCCATGACGTTTTCTCCTCATCGAAGATGTGATCATTGGCTCAATGTGTGATGGCCTACTTGGCGTCTCTAAGAGGAAACCGTGTGGTGTTGAAGTTCTCGAATTGCCTGGTCTATGATTTATTTCAGGGCAACGAAGTCTCCTTTAGCTGAGACATAGCCTCGTTTTGTCTGGGGGCTTGAAAATTATAAAACATGTTTTTTGTTAATATGTCTGTTTTCGAGCTTCGTGGTTTGGTGTGGTGTTTGGTTTGGCTCAGCCTAAATTAATTTTAGAAATATTTCTTTATAGGAGAGCTATTGAAATTGTAGAGTCGGATGTCAAAAGCCAGACTATCCTCAAACCACTGTCTGAATGTAAGTAGTTTATCTCCTTCCCATCTTCCTTTGTAATAGAAGCTTAACTTTTTTTTTTTTTTGAAGCTTGCTTCACTTTTCTGAGGAAAGAGCTAGAAAGGTATAATGAACATGGTTAAATCTACACCCGTTTTTATGTGTGTGACTGTGTGTCAGCTTTATTTGTCTTGCCTGCAGTACTAAATTTCGTGCATTACTGGAAATGAGTTATCCACAGTGTTACATAAATGGTTGGGACAGAGTCAATTTTCTTTCCAAGCTCTAGGAATGGAAACTGTAAACAGTAAGGCTGGCTCAGCTTCTCTCTGGGTGCTGAAGTTGCGTGCAGTTTAGGTCTCCGTATAGGTAAAAGCAGAGCCTGGTAAATAAGAGGCAGACAGTGAGAGAATTGAGTTCAACTTGGGATCTCTCAGGCCTTTAAACAAGTCTAGGAGGATGGAGGTATAAAGATGATATTGCTGCAGTAAATGGCAGGCTATTACAAAAATGGAAAAATTAATTTTCCTTTTCCTTAGCGGTGGCAGATATAAAATAGCCATGAACGACATATCTTGGCGGTGTTTAATATCCAGGGTTAATCTTTAGAAGCGGAACACCCTGATTTGATTGTTTCTTCCTTCATTCCTGCACTGGTTGAAAGTTATTAAAATTGTTTCTAGCACTGTAGTTCCGCAGAGAGCACTTGCTATTTTTCATCACCTTGTTGAGAGAAAATTAATAAAAATACTTCAGAAGTAGCCAAACTTAGTGCTTAGTATTGTCCCCCTTTTTTTTCCTCACTACCAAATGTGTCGGCGACCCCTTTTAGCACTGCCGGCACACACGGAGCTAAAATAGGTTATAAGTTCCTGGTGTAAATTGTTAAGACTAATCTAATTCCTTGACCTCTGGTATATGTGATTAGCTCTTAATGCCTCTAGAAAGCTATAGGGAGACTGACTTCAGCTATATACAGGGTGTGGCAAAAATAGGTTTACAGTTGTTCACATGGAAAAATAATACAGCGCTAGCCAAGTGGCTTGGTTGGAACGTTGTTCCAATATGCCAAGGTTGCAGGCTTGATGCCTGGTCAGGGCACATACAAGAAGCAACCAGTACCTGGCCGGTGTGGCTCAGTGGTTGAGTGCTGACCCATGAACCAGGAGGTCCCAGTTCGATTCCTGGTCAGGGCACATGCCTAGGTTGCAGTCCTGATCCCCAGTAGGGGGCATGCAGGAGGCAGCCGATCAATGTTTCTCTCTCATCATTGGTATTTCTATTTCTCTCCCTCTTCTCTGAAATCAACAAAAACATTTAAAAAAGAAAAGAATCAACAAATGAATGCATAAATAAGTGGAACAACAAATTGATGTTTTTCTCTGTCTCCTTTTCCCTCTCCCTTCTCTCTCTAAAAATCAATAAAAAAGATACAATAATTAATAAAAAATATACAAGAATAAGTGCTGTTTTGCGTACTCACAACTGTAAACCTACTTTTGCCCCACCCTATACACTAGTAAGACACTTTCTAATAAGTAACACTACCTGACCTTTTTTGACCCATTGTGGGTTCCCCAGCATTGAAGATGCTCAAACAAAAGCTGGCTAGATGACCACTTGTGGGGATTGTTTTAGAGGGCTCGGCCACGGGGTAAGGGAGCAAAACCAGGCCTCAAAATTCTTTCAGCCTTACGATTCTGCTACTTGATCAGTGATCTCCAGTTTCTCCACTCCTGTCCGTCCTCTGCAACATCCCGTTTGTTGTAATGAAATAGAAGCAAATGGTTGTGGGACAACTGCACATGATCTCGGGAAGTAACTGTAGGCAAAGGTTGTTACAGAGCAAATCCCTCCCGTCTTGCAATTCATGCATCTCCAGACAATGAGGCCATAGTCCCGTGCAGCTTGTTGGCTGTTGCCCAACCTCCGGCCTCTGAGGTGGTGCTATCTGCTAAGATAGCCAATGACCTTTTCTCAAGTGTAGAGATCAGCGTGGGCAAGTGAACCAAACCTCAAAGGTCATTTGTGGAGGCTCTCGGAGACTCACATAGGATTGACTGTACTGCCCACATGTAGCCACTTGTGTGAGTCAACATATTAGGTAATTTTTCCAACTTTTTTCTTAATAACTGGGCATCTTTGCTTCAAGGTTCTGTTTGTCTTTACCTTTGAGATATTAGGAACCCCCAAGCAGGAGACAGTACTTCTTTGTCTGGTCTTTATTCTTTTATGAGGTGGGTTTTTGTCTCTCTGAGGTTAAATTGTGTTCTACAGGGCAAAATAGCTCACCATTCTGCCCAGAAAAAGGGTCAGCCTCCGTTGAAGTTCCCCACGTTCCCCTGGTCTCTTGGTGAGGACAGCACTGTCTCTCATCCTTTCGTGTCCAGTTACAGAGCTGGAACCTCTGCTTTGCCGCGACAGGACTGCACTTGACTTTTCTTCAGCTAAAACTTAGTCTCATCTGTCGCAATACACACAATTTTAAAAATCGAATTAAGCTCGATGTATGTATTTATAGGTAAGTCATCCTCTGAGTCGCTGGTTCCGAAGCGGGTTGGCCTTCGTCACATATCCCAGGTCATTTCGGAAGTCGATGGAGACAGGATGACTTTGATCCAAGAAGGAGCACACGATTCCTTCCCCCTTCAGCAGAAGATCTTGGTCTGCTCTCTGCTGCTCTTGACCAGGCAGTTGAAAACCAGAGAGGTCACTCTGGGGAAGGTTAGTTGGGACTGTCGGCAGATGGAGCTGGGGGAGAGGTGAGAATCTGCTTTGCAGAGCAGATATTTTCCAAAAGGCCTATCACGCTCCAGCTGATAGGAATTAAAAATGGATTTTTTAACAGTAAGAATAAACACCGGAACCATGTCAGAGGCAGCTGACTTTATTTCCCTGGGGTTGTGGTTGAGAATTGACCATTCATCTTCTCCCCTTCCATTTCTGCCTCTCAACGAAATATAGAGCCCTTTCCTGCATGACAGTAGAGGGTTTTGGCAATATCTACAGGGTGCCCGTTCAAGTTCAAGGGTCCTATTGAAATGAGGGAGGACTGGGTACCGAGATAACTTGTTTGCAAACCCAGACTCACATTCTTTCGAAGATTATAAATAGGTTACAAGAGATAGGACTTCTGAACAACATTTGTCCTCCCTTGTTTCCTCCCAGTTATACGAAGCCTACGGTAACGTCTGTCGCAAACAGCAGGTGGCAGCTGCGGACCAGTCAGAGTGCTTGTCACTCTCAGAGCTCTTGGAGGCCAGGGGCATTTTAGAATTAAAGAAAAACAAGGAAACCCGCCTCACAAAGGTACAGCCCGCTGCTTCTTTGTGGCATTCCCTTTAATTGTCCTGTTTTGGAGAACTTGTGTTTTGCTAGAGTAAAGAGTTTAAGATGACCGTAATTAGATACACAATTTGTTTCTTGTTAGGTAGAGTTTAAGATCTGTGAGGATGGGACTGGGGCATGAGGGAGATTTTTTTTGTGTGGGGGCCCTTGCAAAAGCAGCGTTTAACATGCTTGCCTCTTGTGAGCAGGGTTTAACATGGTAGACCTTTATGTACTACAGACTTTGCTTTTGTGAGTTCTCCACTGTGAAAAGCTTTTTTCTCCTTTTTCCAGGTGTCTTTGAAGATTGAAGAGAAGGAAGTAGAGCATGCTCTGAAAGACAGAACTTTAATTGGAAATATCTTAGCTACTGGATTGCCTTAAAATCTTTTATTTTTCATACCACCCACCTGAAAGTATCCAGTGTTATCTAGAACGTTATAAAGTCTTCGTGTTAGTACTTTAATATATTCAGGTCTGAAAACAGTACTCTTTTTACTTGAAAATGATCAATTTTAATTTATAGATTTAAGAATGTTTACACAGAATATAACATCTTTGGGTTTTATTATTTTGGGGGGAGTGTTATTTTTATGCATTAAAAATGAGGGTCTTATTACTTTTATGCATTAAAAATGACCAAGTAGACCCTTTCAAATTATATTTACTACCTTAATAAGCTTGCAAGGATATAGATTTATGTTGTGGAATGTGCGTATATTTACCTCTTTGTTCCCTCAAACATTGGTGTATTTGAAAGAACTTTGGCACTAAAATCAGAAGAATGAAAAAGGGTGATCCAGCAAAATAAGCAAGTCCTCGTGGAGATGTGGAGGACACTTCGTGATCAAAGGATTTCTTTCTTTTTGGAGTTTCCTGTGTTTGCGTTGCAGATACTTCCACATTGTGGCATTTTAAAGACTCACTTGAGTTTCTTAGGCACTCCCCAGGGAGTGGGGGTAGTAAGCAGAATGTAACTCTACAGATTGTGAATATATTTATTTTCAAGTTTCGTTCTTTGTCTTTGTAAGCAATCACATTTCCAGCGAACTCAAGCTTTCGTTGTGGAAATTCCTCCCTAAACTGTCCCAATAGTCTTGTCGCCCTCAGATGAAGCTGCTTGTCTCAAGATGCCTTCGTTTGGGGTTGGATTTTTATTTAAACCTCATTTTTCTAGTCTTGTTATCAGCGGTTCTCAACCTGGGGGTCGAGACCCTTGGGGGTCGAACGACCTTTCACAGGGGTCGCCTAAGACCATCGGAAAACACATAATTACAGTGGTTCTCAACCTTCCTAATGCCGCGACCCTTTAATACAGTTCCTCATGTTGTGGTGACCCCCAACCATAAAATTATTTTCGTTGCTACTTCATAACTAATTTTGCTACTGTTATGAATCGTAATGTAAATATCTGATATGCAGGATGTATTTTCATTGTTACAAATTGAACATAATTAAAGCATAGTGATTAATCACAAAAACAATATGTAATTATAGATGTGTTTTCCGATGGTCTTAGGCGACCCCCAAAGGGGTCGCGACCCACAGGTTGAGAACCGCTGTGTTAGATAAATTAGTTCATATGGTTACTCGAGACTCCTCTTTTCTGGGTTTGTTTTCTGGTGGCATAAAATGGCAATTTGAGATGGGAACACCAGAGGGCACCATTACAGCACTGACTGCCTTGACCGTGCAGGCATGGGGCTGCCGTTTTGAGAAAGGGGGAGACTTAAGTTTGATTCATTTGGGAGATGGCTGTAGTTTTATAACTCGAGCAAATCCTTGGAATGCAAACCATATGTGACATGGATGGTCTGAGAACCAGTGACCAAGTCTGTTCCCTGAGCTCTTCTGCCTCCTGCCTTTCCAGCATGGACTTGAGTTTGGGAACTTGATATGTGTACAAATGATCTGTTGGCCACTGTTTCATTCATGCTGCCCACTGTATCCTTGCAATGTGATCTGGGCTACAGCAGGTGGTACGGGATAGAAGAAGGGCATGCAGAGAGCCCTCTGAAATGAACACCACCCACGGGTGTGTAGCAGGGCACAGTCTATAGACAGGAGTCTGAATGCTCTCACACGCTTGGCGGAGAAGTCATTCCCTCTGAGGGTAATTTGCGAGTGGAGAACGCAGTGTTATATATACCTCGAAGCGTGGAAAGTGTCTGGGGCTATAAGGGTTAACAAGCATAATTGCAAAGATTGTCCGAAGGCTGATGGAAAGCAGAGACTGAATGGGATTGAGAACAGATGCGAGGCTTGATTTAAATTACATTTTATTGGATGCTGCAGCCTTAAGAGACGTGACTGCTTTACAGTTTGTTTCCACACTGTGGGCAGCTGCTGTCTGTTCTGTGTCCACAGTAGGATCCTGCCCAAAAAGGAGTGGCCTCCCCACCTCGTTGTATTTGAGGCTTGGCGCCTTCCCCTTCACTGTAGGGCCTGAGTCAGGAACATGGCTTGACTCGCAGTGGGGCTGCTGTGTATCCTCCATGGCACTGAGCCAGGATTGCATTTGCAGATTCAAAGGGGCCAAATTTCTTTCCCTTCCACCTTCTTTCTCTCCTTTTCCCCTGATGTTTGGAAACAGGGTTTTCTGTGGACTGGTTTGTTGGTTTATTTCCCTTCCGTTCTCCCCCCACTGTCAATTTCTAGGTCACTGCTGCTCTTAAGACTTCAGCAATTGGAACAGGGTTGGTCTGTCAGTGATGCGTGAAGCAGACTTGGAGTCCCCGCGTGGCTTCCGCTGCTCGGTGGGAGCGAGAGCTGATGTACGTGTGTCAGTGAGGTCTTCAGCGCCATTCAGACAGCCAGGGAGCAGGCTGAGAGAAGAAAGAACGTCCTTTTCTTGCGGGGTTTTCTCTGAGCGCTATGGGGAGGAGTGGGATTTGGAGTGGGATGGGATGGGCTTGTGGTGACTGGTGTTTGCCAGGATCATAGGCTGTTTCACATAGTGTAGTAGCAAAGATGCTGACCTACATTCTTCCTCGTGGAGGTGGTCGGGGGGGGGCGGTGTCTATATCCTGGGTTACTTCTTTTCCTTCGAAGAAGCAGATTAAGCTTCCATAGCGTGTTGTTGGGTATTGCCATGGAGAGAACACAGACACAATAAAGTTGGTGTGAGTTTCAACCCCAGAGCTGCCACTGATCTTTCTGGCTCAATGAAGACTTGCCTGTGGCTAGATAACTGGCAAGAGTGTGTGAGGTCCAAGCTCCCCAGAGATCAAAAAAGTTGGCAAAGCTCTCTTCTCTCCCCCCCACCCACCCCCCTGTTGCTCCCTGCCTTTATTAAGTGCCCTTTTAAGATACACCAGTAAGAACTGGGAAGTAGGAATGAGACAGACCTGGAGATTTTTTTTTTTAATCCTCATCTGAGGGTATGTTTTTATTGATTTTTAAAGAGAGAAACATCAACCAGTTGCCTCCCATATGCACCCCAACCGGTGATCAAATCCACAACGTAGGTATGTGCCTTGATGGGGAATCGAGCCCACATTTTTTGGGGTGCTAGATGACACTCCAACCAACTGAGCACCTGGCCAGGGCCAGACTTGCAGATTTTTAAAAATATATGTAGCCCAGCCAATGTGGCTCAGTGGTTGAGCATTGACCCATGAACCAGGAGGTCATGGTTTGATTCCTGGTCGGGGCACAAGCCCGGGTTGCGGGCTCGATCCCCAGTATGGGGCATGTGGGAGGCAGCCAATTGGTGATTCTCATCATTGATGTTTCTATCTCTCCCTCTTCCTCTCTGAAATCAATAAGAAATATATATAAAGTATATATCTGTAAAGAGGTGTCACATTGCCTACTGAGGGAGACCAAAAGAACCAAGCTTGAGGTTTTATTTATATTTGTCTTGTCCCTAGTACTTAGTGCCTGGTACCTGGTAGGTGTTCAATGGACAGATAAATAAACCAAATAAAATGCTTCCTTTTCCTCCATCTTGACAGTTCTAATCTGAAGATAAACGTTGCTAGTGCTTTTACACAGAGGTGGAGCAGGCGCCCCCCTTCCCGCCCCCCCTCCGTAAAAGAAAGGTGCTTCATCTTAAAAAAATAGGTCTTGGCACAGTTGTGCAGGTTTATTGGCCTCACAGATGCGTTCCAATCGCTCCCTCTGATGTGGTGTTTTGCTTGAGGCAATTTCCACGTTGCTCCCAGGATGCCTTGGCTGGGGAGGGAGTCCTCCCTACAGGCTGGGAAGAGGGGTGCCTGTCTGGCTCTTACCTAGTGCCCCTAGACCTTGGCCAGAAGCTGTGCCTCTAGCTGGCAAGGGATCAAGGAAGAGCTCACCTCTGATGTTCCCCTTTTTAACTTTTGGGGAACGTTGTAACCCCAGGTCCCTCCTGAAAAGGTGTCCTCTAGACATTCTCTCTTAAGCTACACAGAGCGGCGGGTCTCCCTCTTCTCAGAAAAGGTGCGATGGATGCGTAGGGGGAGGAGGCGTTCCCTCTGGCCTCCCCTTGATTTTCAACCCCAGCCCCAAGGCACTGGCAGTAGAAACTAATTGGGCGCAAGAGGCCTGGGTGCAGGCTGTCTGCAGACTGGCAAAAGGAGAGACCTCGCTCCTTCTTTAAGGAGCTCTAATTGAGTTCTGAATCAGCCTCGCTCCCTTTGATCCCACCTCTTTTTCCCACACTGCCCGAAAGCGCTGGATCAGCACTTTTATAACAAGGGTGCGCCTGCTCCCCACACCCGCCCCCCTCTCCTGACGCTCTCCTGCCGCCATCCACTGCTTGTCTCCTCCAGTTAAGATAATGAAGATGCTGAGAGATAAAATGTGTATTTAATAAGGGTGGGGGTGGGGAGGCAGAAGGGGGCAGCCAGGGCCTTCCCTCGTTTGGGGCCTCGCCAAGACTCGAGCTGAAAGCAAAGCTAGAGTAAGACTTGGCCCCAGGGTGTGGGGGTTTCTGGGCCTCGATCCAGCTGACTTCACTGCCTGCTGTTTGCCCTAAATTCCCCCACCTCCACCCTCTCACCCCCACACTCCTTTCTTTCCTCTCTTCTTGCTCCCAGTGGGAAAAAGGAGTCTTGCTTCAACTTTATTTTCAGCTGGTAACTTGGCCTTTGGTGTGGTGTCCCCCCACCCCAGAGTCAGCTGCAAGGTCGGGCTAGGGCAGCCCCCTCTAGCCTAAGCCTATAGAAGCTGTGGGTTCACAGTGTGGGGTGAAAAACGCTGGAGCTAATGAAGACCAGCTGCTAGTCTGGGTTCTGACTACAGTGAGCTTTGGTGGTGGTTAGAGGTATGGGGGTGCATGACCTCCATCCCTGGGCACAAGGATATCCTGTGGCAGCTGAGGCTGTGCTCTCTGAGCTGGTTTCATCCTGAGTTTGTCAGAGAGCAGTCTGTTTCCCTCTCCCCCTGCTCCTCCCCTCCCCAAATCACACTCAGCCCTTCTTGAGCTTTATAACTGTAGTGGTGGCCCAGCTGAGATCTGAGGATCTCCAAGCCTTTTTGTAAACACTCATTAACTCCCTGGGAAGCACCAAGGGCCCTGTTTAACAGCTGGGAGAGAACTGAGGCACATCAGCGTGAAAGGCTTGACCTGAGCTCACCCAACGGGCTCCACCCTGGGGCTCTCCATCCTTACTGTCTAGTTCCTCCCCCCACACTTCTCCCTGCAACACACAGAAAGAAGTAGAGGCAGTGCTGCTGCCCTCTCCCCTTCTAGGAAGAGGCCACGCTTTCCCCCTTCTCTCATTTCTGTCTTGACTTTCCCTGGCCCTTCACCCCATGACATTTCCCCAGCTCTGCTGCCGGAGCTATGCGCAACTCCCCTTGCAAAATGCTCTCCCTCCAGCCCTCTAAACACTTCCCATCCACCTTTCCCTGGTCCACCTGGCCCACCCACCCTGAGTTCTCCCTTTTGAGCTGCTGAGGTCAGCTATCCTAAGCTCCTAAGCTCGGTCTGTGACCTTGAAGTTGATGTACTTGTGTTAAGAGGCCCTTCTCCCCCCATCCCCTATATTTATCCCAAATGGTACCTGGGGAAATACTCTCTCACTTA